AAATGGATAAAAACAATTTGTGATTAATCATGTCGAATGCTTTACTATAATCAAGCAGAATTAATAAACCAACATTTTTGGCGTCGGATTCCTTCAGAAAGTCATCCGTAATATTTAATAGGGCCGTACCACAGCTATATCCCGATCTAAATCCCGATTGTGTGAGTGGTAGAATTTTATATTTATCAATGTGTTCTCGAAGTAGTTCCTCTACAACTCTCTCCAAAACCTTTGAAAGTGTAGGCAGAATAGTTATGGGACGAAGATCATTTAAGTTTTCAGGGGAAGTGACTTTTGGAATAGGAAGAACTAGTCCCTCTTTCCATATATTTGGGAAAACAGAATTTTTTAGACAAAAATTTATAATGTAAGTTATATGTGGAATTAGGTAGGGACAAAGAAATCTAATTAATGTGACATTAATTCCATCGGTTCCACAAGCTTCGGTTTTAATTTTAAGAATAATTTTAATTATATTATATTCATCTATTTCTTTAAATTCAAGCAGATTTTCAAAATTTCCTTTAAAGTTGTTTTGGTAAAAATTTTGAGTTTCCGGGTGAGGGTTAATGACAGAACCATTAATTTTCAAGAAGTTTTTATTGATGTCATTCGCATCGAAATTCGAGGAAAGTTGAAACTATTCTTATATCCGGTAAACTTATTTATTATTTTCCATTTTTGTTTATTATTGGCATTAGAAAATTTTTGATTAAAATAGATTTTTTCTTCTGCACGTATGGCTTGTGTAATATTTCTTAAATTCTTATAATAATCCCAATGAGATTTTTGTTTTGTTTTTTTGTATTTAGTAAACGCCTTATTTCGTAAATTAATCATAAATTTTATATTGTCAGTGATCCATGGTTTAGGACTATTTTTAAAGGTTATGGTCTTAAGTGGATCATGTACATCGAATAATTGGGTAATAAGTTTATTGAATATTTTGATTTTATCATTAATAGTGGCATTTTCATAATCTAAGTACCAAGGCTTTGATTTAAGATCAACATTAAAATTTTCTAAATTTATTTTAGAAAAGTCTCTGTACGTTTTTGTTTGATGACTGTTTTTTGTAATTTTAATATTTAATGTACATTCTGTGAGAAAGTGATCAGATAAATTTACATCTATGACATTTAATTTAGAAAAATCTAAATGATCATTAATAATTATATAATCTAATAGACTATCTTTACGTGTTGGCTCATTTACTATTTGTATTAGACCAGTACCCTCGAATAGTGAGTTGAGAGTATTCGTTGAGTTACTTTCGGTTAACATGTCAATGTTAAAATCACCAACGCATATTAAGTTATTAAATTCAACACAGTAGAGATATATCATTTTCAAATGTATCTAAAAATTTATTAATGTTAGTCTCGGGGGGACGGTAAATGACTCCAATACAAACGGTTTTATTATTTACCCTTAGACTTACCCATAGCTGTTCGTAAAATTCATTACTGCTGAAATCGTCTATTATTTTAATTTTTAAAAATTCCTTAGCATAAATACAAACACCTCCTCCAATTTTATCATTTCGATCATTCCTATAACATTTATACCCAGCAATTTTAATCGAATCTTCAGATATGTTCTTTTTCAACCAGGATTCCGATATGGCAAATAAGTCGTATTTTTTATTTCCAAGTTCGTTTCTAATAAAATTTATTTTTGACAATAATGAACGAGAATTCCAATGACCAATGCACAAATTCTTAAATTCCATGTTTATCAAATCTAAACAGAAAAATACCAAACAAACCAATAAATAATTCCACCAAGGTTATAAATAAAGTAAGCAAAATATAATAGTGTAAATTTACAAAAGAATCTGCTTGTTTTAAATTAAATTATTTTTTTTATTTTCTCTTCTTCTTTTTTACTCTATTTATTTTCATTTAAAAACTTGTTTTGACTTCTTGTTTTTGGACTATAATGTATTTTTGATCTTCTTCTCTTCTGACTGGTTTTTGTGGATACGTTCTTTTCGGTTGGATTGGATAATGAATACGCTGCATACGACGTCGACTGTACCTTACTAGTCTCACAATCTACTTCCTCACTTTCACTAGAACTTTCCGCGTTTTCTTCCAGCTCCTTCAATTCTTCTACCGAATATAATTTATTTTCTACCTCCAATGAGAAACCTCTTATTCTTGCCGATAGTTGTTGGTCTTTAGCTTGTTTTAAATGACGTCTAAGGACTTTATTATTGATTCTATCTTTATACGAGGTCTCGTTGGCTATTGCTACTCCAGTGCCCTTCAGCTTTTTGACGTTTTTAAATAATGCTTGCTTTCCTAAAAATGAAACAAATTCCAAGACGATGGGATTGACATCAGTTCCTTTTTTTTTCATTAAATATATATTATTGATATCACAACGCCCTATTTGTATTTGAATTAACAAATTATATTTAAACCATGCTTTAGATAAGGTAGTAGCAAATTCTAATTCACATAGTTTTACTAAATTCAAATTTAAGATGGTTTATTTAAAAGCACTTATCTTTAGTTAAAAGAAGGTAATATAAGGAATGTTTATTGCATGGTATATTTTCAGGCAACTTCTTCAATGGGATTCACTATCCTTATTCGTAATTCTGCAACTTGAATGATCTCGTGATATTTGGTATTCTAACTTAACTCGAACCTGTCTAGATCTTCTAGAGATGAATCAAACCACGGTCTTCAGTTTGTACCAAAACCAAAACAAACTTCTAGGTATAAAAACCATAAAACTTCTTGAAAGGAATTCAAAACTTCTTGATAGGAATTCAAAACGTCTAAATATAAATCCAAATAAACCGTCTAGATATAGCCATGCTAAACAGAAAGGGTTAAAATGTTAAGATAGGATATAGGAAATTGAACAGGATTTAGATAAAATGCTTTTAACCATTAAATGAACAATTTGAAACTATTAAAGGAATAATTTCACAGAGGCTAAAAATAATATGAAAAGGAAAAATCTTATTTAACATATTTAAACATAGTAAAGCATAATATCTTATTCCAAAAAAAAATATATATAAATTAATATAAAACGAACATGTGTTATCCCTTGTTGATATTGAGGTTATGTATAATACTTGACAATTCCTTGTACAAAATATATATATTTAACAATATATTAGTATTAAAACTTACCTTATAAAATCAAACGGATTATACTATAGATAAAAATTATTTAGTACATCGGATGACCAATATATATTAAAATTCAAATCAACTTGATTCGTTGATATTCAAGTCAAAAATAATTCTCACAAGGCGAATAAAGGAAGAAGAAGAAGAAGAAGAAGAAGAAGAAGAAGAAGAAGAAGACGACAACAAATGACATTTAAGAGATGGTTGTGTCGGAATAACGGTGTCAACCGTTACAATATACGTAATTTTTTTCTTCTAAAAGGAGAATTTAGATTAGCAATTATTATTTTCTATCTAGTACGAAATATAGCCATCCAAAATTTCAGTTCGTTTTTCATTTTCAATGAAAAAAAATGTACGTGTAGGTAAACGTCAAAATATGTTCCTCTGGAGCCACTTTTACAAAATTTGATCAAATTTTGATGGAAAAAAAACGCATTTTATTTACATGTGAGGGAAACGCGGATAACCCCACCTAACATCATTATTACAAAGTACAATTCATTTTTACAAATGTTTATTCCTAATTTCATGAAAATATTATTCTCTAAAGATTATCTAATGAGTTTGACTTAAAAATAAATTCTAGTATTTTAAATTATCTCCAAATATTTATCTTTAAGAAAGTTACTCTAACATTACATTACTATTTAGGTACGTTAACTATCTTTGGTTAAAATAATGAAAATCAGATATTGCAAAACAAATAATTCATGTACTTGATTTGAAAAAACTAATGCCTAATAAATGTTCTAAATAAACTAAAAAAAAATCTTGAATCTTGGGAAACAAGATAAAAGCAAACATCCACAAAAACTGAAACAGAAAAAAAATTAAATACAGTAACTAACTTCAATCAATTTTTTTTTATTTTTATTTTTTAATTTGTTGGAATATATAAATTAAAATTGTTGAATTAATACTTTTTTGTGTTACCAAGGGAGATGTTATTAAATTATTCAGCGTGCTTTATATTTTTATGCAATTTGGTTATTCTAAAACGGACTCCAGAGACGGGTTGGCATATTGTGCATATGATATAAACCCTCCTGATCCATATCTTATCTAAAAAATAATTAATAATTAAAATAACAAGTACCTGAAGAAGTGCCTGTATAGAGATTACAAATTACGTTATTCCTAATTCCTCGAAGACGTAATTGCTGTACAACTGGAATTAAGTACTATATTTTTACTACGCGCAGATAGAACAATAATGTTACGCTTATAAAATAAAATCAGCATGTACAGCTCAGTAATTTCTCATTTACGTAAAAAAGAATAGGTATACAAGCATCAGTTTAATTTAATACTATTTCAAAGGTAATATGATATTTGTTAGGTTTCCTTACATTTTCTTTGAAAGTCAAGCTACATATTATTCAATTCATGGACACGATTTTCTGGGCACCATCTTTTGTCTACGTATCTCATAGTTTCGACCTGACCCTGTATTTTGGCGAACCGTAGTGAAAGATAAACAGAAAGTACTAAAAAGGAAAAAAATAGGTGAAATGGCTTCGCAGAGTGCAGAGTCCCTGTACGGCAACTGGATATGTGGTCAAATTGAACGGATGTCGATTGTAGATTTCGTTTACTTTTGATATCTGAGAGTCGAAAGGTTTCTTTTTTTTAACCCCATTGTTAAATCGTTAGATTAAAACGGGAAAATACGAAAGGTCTCTTTGTTTACTTGAGAGGGTTCCAAGGAATGCTGAGAGATTTAGTTTCTCTGACGTTTTTTTGAACAACAAACATTTTACGATTTATTCCATCTCAGATACTATTCATTTTATGTGATATAGATGAAATATAATAAAAATATATTGATTAAAACTTTGTACGCTATTTTCAACAGGAAAATAAGAAGGAAACAAAGGATAAAATATGCATAATTTTACAAGAGATGGGAGTAAAAATCGCAGTAAAAGAAGATATAAATGAAGTACGATGGATGGGCAAGTACAAAAAAGGAAAAGACCAATAATTGTGAAACTAAACAGGGAAAGCACAAGAACAGTGATTTTGCAGAAAACCAGAAGCCTGAAGGGCACAAATATATTGATTGATGAAAACTACCCAAAAGAAGTCCAAGAGGAAAGGAGGAAGCTAATAATAAAAATGAAAGAAGCTAGAAATAAAGGTCACAAAGCACAATTAAGATATAACAAATTAATAATAAACGACGAGTTATACAAGGAGAAAGACACCCATCAAAACGAGGAAGAAAAAAAGAAAGAGGCGATGAAGCAGCAGTCAAAAGAGGACTGTAAACGAAAATCACCGGAGCAAAACAGATTTGATGAACAAGTAAGGAAAATAACACGATCTAACACAAAAACTAATAAATAAAGATGAAATTAAATAAAGTGATGACGAAACGGCGATGGACAAGGAAATAAGCAAAAAATGAATAACGGAGCAGTAAGAAACACAAAACATGATGAACAGGGCAACGAACTACCGGGAAAAAACATATTTTATTATATTCCAAGCAAATAGAACACAGAGCGAAGTCAATAATTTAGACACTCATATTATGAAAAAAGGTAAAAAAAAAACATCTATAGAAATATTATCACAAAATATAACATGGAAGAATTACAAGTAAACGAGGTATCAAGGAGATATAAAGCAGACATAGAAAGAAGTCTAGACAATACACCAGTTTTAAACATGGCCAACATAATAGAAAAGAAATGGAATAACATAGAGAATGCCATAGAAATATCAACTGAGAAAAATATTAATAAGAAAAAAACGCAGAAAAGAAAGGAATGGTTAGATAACGAATGTGATGAAGAAATTAAAAAAAAAAACACAAACTGTGAGAAAAATACCTACAAACAGGGAACGATACAGACGGAAAAAAATATATAAAACAAAGAAAGGCTGTTAAAAAAATGTGCAGAAATAAGAAAAGGCATCACCAAGAAAAAAAAGTCGCATAAATACAAAAAAATTACAAAAAAATGACATTAACCACTTCTATAAAGATGTAAAAGCTATACAAAAAAAACACTTGCCAAAAAATATTTACATTAACGATAAGGAGGCAAATTTAATGGGAGGAAAAAGCGAGCAAATGCAAAGATGGAAACAATACTTCCAAAAACTACTGAACGATAAACCTGAACGGCAGAAAGTAGAAGAAAAAGAAGCAGCAAATGAAAACCCTATGTACACCGCTGAGGAACCCACAGAAAAAAAGATAATAGAAATTATTTCAAATATAAAGAATAAATAAAGCCCCGGATCAAACAAAATTACCGCAGAGAACCTAAAATATGGAGGACAACAACTAATAACACAAATAATTCTAATAATTTTATGATAATGAGAAAATTTCACCTCTGTACCAACAACCTCACACTGTAACGAAACTGACATTTCCTTTATAATAGACATTTCTTTAAATGGATTTATACATAATTAATACACCTCCATTTTTTATATTAGTTCTACAGAATGATGTAGGTACAAATATCATAATTTCTAATTTTTACCATCTGCAATTCGGAATCTTTCAACCAGTTTTCAGTAATGCATGCTATATCAATTTTATGCTTCTTCAACTCAATTTTGAATAAATCAAATTTATTTCTTAAACATTAAGCATTTTGATAAAAAAAACCCTAAATTGAGAAATATTTGATATACTGGGTTTCTTTAATTGTTACTTTGTAATTGAATAATTAATTTTTTGTTTTTGAACATCAATTTTCATCTGAAGGATTGGACAAATATGGTCGAAAAAACTATGATAAACATTAAAGTTAGTTTTCATGTATGAATTTGCTTTTATACAATTGTTACATTTAAACACGGAACTTGTACATTCATCTGTGAGGTGATCTGGATCACAACACTTTAGGCACTTTTGCACACTATCACATTTATCTCTATGATGTCCAAAGTCACCACAATTAAAACATTTATAGACAGCTACATAATCAAAGACACGACATCTTGCCCAATTAACATACAGGAAACCTTCTTTTAGTATATTTTCATATGACTGTGGATCACAAACAATTATAGTCATGAATTTAGACTTAATTTTTTTAAACACTTTAATAGATATATTAGAATCACCATCATTTAAGAAACCATTCTGCTTTTTAATACAATTTATTAAATCTTCAGGAGACATTTCATTTTCTATAACCACAACTTTTATGGAGGGATTTTTTAAATCTGGTGACACAATATTATAACTCTTAGATAATTTATTTTCGACAGCAGATTTGTGCAGACAGAGCTATCGAATCGGCTGCTGCATTAGAAAGAAATAAACGGCTGCTATTTTAAGTGGGGATGATTTGTGCGAGCTTGTTTATCTGCAGTTTAACGAATAAATTAGTACTTATCTTTACGTATTTTCCTGGAAATCACCTTCAACTATGACAGTTAAAACTGCAAATTTACTTTCTTAAAGCCGTTTGTGCAATCCTTGTAACACAACTATCCCATACTCTCTTATAATAATTTCACTACTACCTGTATAACACCTTGGATGCTTGCAATTCGATTTTTATAAACAAAATTAGTCTAGTAGTTGTTCATCGTTGATCTATTTAAAATGTTCTAACAGATGATGTGACATTACTACTGTTTAGTCTTATTAAGAAAGAAAGTCGTAGTCATTGAATCGAATTTTAGAACTATATGGAATCCGCAGAACTGTATTCTTTTGGTATATTATAAATAGAAACACATATATTAATTATATATTTTTAACCTTAAATTATTCACATATTTAGATAATATCGTTATAATATTGTTTAGATTATAATTTAATTTTAATAGTCAGAAAACGATTACTTTTTGCGTCGTGTTTGATATAGAATAAAGTTTGTGAATCATTGATTTTTAATATTGAAGATCTCCCTACCTGAAAAATAGACGTGTGTTTTCACTTAGAATACCAATAGTGCCTGAATTATTTTCGATTTTTTTTTTCGAACTTATGAATTTTTTTAAAATAGTCGTGAGTGAGCAAAAATTTACTGATAATAATTCCACGTCTGGTATTCGGTAAGAAAATTTTACACCAAAATATCAAAATTTTAAAACTTGAAGGCGTTTAGTTGACGTGAAATACCTAATTATTATTTTACTTAAAATAAATGTAGTGTATTTCTAGCTAGTTATAATTTTTATTAAATAAAATATTAACCTCTGAAATAGCAAATTTTTAAATCACACTATTGCGTTGCGTCATAATATCATATGCATTAAAGAGCTTTTTAAATGTTAAAAAAAAATTTCAGTATAATTTCTTTACTCACCAAGAGAAAAATTTCCTTTGGTTGTCATGAAAGCGTTTTAAAATAACAGCATTTGATCGGCTATAAAATAGAGGTGTAAAATTATAATATAATATAAATGAAAGCAAAAATATGATATTTTTCCGGTTTTGAAGATGTTGCCAGACTCATTTACCAATTTAGTAAATCAGCCAGACTTATCATTATTTACAGTTTATGATTGTATCAATTGATTTGAAAAAATTTTAAGCCTGGAAAAATATCAGCCAATTTTTTTAATCCGAAAATTTTCAGTCAGACTCAATTTCTGAGATAAGCCAGTCTGCTATTTTGATGAACTTTATGTTCTAGTGTAGTAAATGTAAAATATTTATGACAGGGAAAATAAGTGCCAGACTCAAAAATTTTGTTTTTTGTCACTAAAAGAACATATTTTCATATACACGAACTGGAAAAATTTGTACGAAAAAAAGTCACTGTTTCCTGGATAAAAAGTACAATTGCAGAATTATTCAAATGGCACGATTCTTTTTGTTTTTTAATTTCTGTTCTGAAATGTGTGGGTGTGCGAGAAATGTTCGAATTATTTTTGGGGGGGCTAATTTCATTTTTGGGGGGCTTAGCTCCCCCAAGCCCCCCCTTAACTTCGCCCATGGATAGGGATATCTTCCGTGTTGTGTTTTTAATCTTATCATTAATGCTGAGTAGTATTTAGAGAAGTTGTACTCGAAAATATATTTTGGCAAAGATGGTACTATTATTTAGGTTTTGATTCATATGAAAACTGTAAAAATGGAAATGATTTATTTTTAACTTTTATACGGGTCCTGAGCTTTAGATTTCGATTCAAACAATTATATTTGAACTAAATTTAGAAGTTGTTGGACTTTGGTGGATATTGGTGACGAAGATTGTTATGCAATATATTTTTTTCTAAAATGCAATCTCGTTGCAGTACAAAAAGTGTAACTCTACAATCTATTTTGAGTGGTCGTGACATCGACACCAATATACCATAAAATTCTTTTTATAAAGCGATATGGCTCGCGTTTCATCCCTTTCAATTTTGAGTAGAAACCGTTTCGCACAAAGAAATGGATGAAATTCATGTTTGAAAAAGCGGAAATCAATGCAGCACAGATATCCGTATCGGTTGAGACGTTTTAGAATTTATACAATCTTGAAACTGACTTATCATCTTTGACATATCGGGAGCAGGACCCCCGAGGTTTATTGCGAGTAAGAATAATGCCCTGCCATTTTCGTGAATGTTTACGATATTTATAACATTGCTGCGTCTCCAAAATGGATTCCATTTTCATTTAAACAAAAAATTATTTAGATATATGGGTGTTTTGTAACTTTATGGGGTGTCAGGGGACATCAAGGAGGTGCCTATTTACTTAGGAGGATACACAATAGGCCTAGTGAGGCCTAAGTGGCGTGGGTTAATCCACCCTCCACACGTTACAGATATATTATAAGCAATCTTTCCGTAAAAAATGCATCCTTTTTTTTAAGCGAGTTTCAAATAAATCCTCTTATCAGGTGCTCCAGAAACTTAATTAGCCTGGACCACTAATATATGACCTCAGACGCCGCAAACTTTTTATGCGACACTATACCAGACACACAATTACACCCTGAAGACGGTTTATCAAATATAATTGAGGAAATTTCCACTGATATCTGATGCTCAAGTTTCCTTTTTAATAGCCTCTTGGAGACACTGTCAAACGCCCTATTTATGACGTCCAGCCAGTTCAGAAGGGATTAAATATTCTTTATATATACTTTATGTATACTTAAATTTATTTTCGTTGAATATTCCTTTGTAAAAACTAAATTGTTCTTCTGCAATACATTTTTAAAATTATTAATTAAATATTTCGTCAAAAAAAATGTACTAGATATATATTAAATAGAAAAATTTAAGCATTATTACTAAATTCACAGCTAAACATGGATTTTACTTAATTTTAATTAGAGGAAAAAGTGCAAATATGGAATACCGTTTTGTTTGGTATATAAAAAAATTTTTGTTAGTGAATACATTTAAGCCAAATAGGGAAAAGGTACTTTAGACAATTAGACACCAAAATGTAAAAGCAAATGTGTAATTATCTTAAACACTTTTTCAAAAAACAAGTTAGAAAAAAAAACTACAAAATTCCCACCTTGGAAAAGGTGAGAGTTATATGGAATACTTTATATATCTACATATTATTTGCACCAGTCACAAATTTATTCGTCTTTTTCGGCGCCTCCTCACTCATTATGAGCCCATTTTAAGCCCATTAAACATTGGACCCATAGTTCTCCTTTCTTATCAGCAGAAAACGAACTATCGCAAAACATGCAATGAGCATCGTCCTTATTCGGTTTCAGTTGTCCCGGCATATCTTCCAAATCGTTGCCAGAATCGTCAGTTTTTACATCTTCGCTTGAATCCTCAGATTTATCAGCAGAAACTGCATTTTTGACGTTTCATTTTGTACTTTGACTTCTCCTGTTTTTGAGTATATGTTTTTTGTTTCAAGGATCTTTCTGAAGACAAGTTTACTTTAACGCCACGCGATTTTGCCTCCTTTTCAGTTTTTTTATTTATTGACTCATTTGGTTCGTCTTTGTAAGGTAACGAGGTAATCACAATAGATCCAATTGTCTTGCATCCTCTGTTGGTTTTTTGCGGATTGTGTTTGGCCTGGAGATATTTCGAATGGTGAAACAAACTTCTGGGTTGAATCTACGTCTTCATCTTGGTCATCTTCATCTTGGTCTTGGTCATCTTCATCTTGATCTTGGTCAACAGCTTGAATTTGGCCAGGTGCATTGTCTTCGCATGACGTTTTAGAGCATGAAGTTTTATCGATAGGGGTAGTAGAAGCTTTTGTTGTTTTGACTTCTTGAATGTTAATGGTAATTCCTCTTTTCGATGCTTCTTGTTTCGCAGCAATGAAGTCAGCTTCGGAAAAAACATTCTTGTTAAAAGGGTAAATACCAGTGCGAAAAACATTAGCCGCTATTGTGTATGTCTGAACTTTTTCGTAAGATCTACCAAATAACTCCGTTATATCAAAAGGACTAAGAGCCCGTCGGTTTTGACGGATCCAAATACGAATTTCTTCACTATAATAAAGTTTTAATGGCCCCATAAATGACTTACCCAAAGGCTGGAGCTTGTGTGTCGAGTGAGGAGGCAGACATAAAATGTTAACATGGTTTTCCCTTGCAAGGTCGATAACGTCGATATTGCGAGTGTGGCTGTAGTGGCCGTCAAGGATTAACAGGACTGTACCCAACCGGATGGATGTGCAATTTTTACGGACCCAGGAGTAGCTCCCTTCATGAGCTGAATGTTCATATTTTTCCTAGGAAAAATAACCAAGGGA